CTCGCCTCTGCCCCGGGCAGGCCTCTGCGAGGGCGGGGCCCGCACCCGTCATTTTGCCGCGGGGGCACCCGACACTCCACGGCCTCTCCGGTGCAGGGGCCGCTCTGTCCTCCCCTTGCACGGTGGCACAGCTCGCTCCAACGGCATCCCCGCTCAAGCCTCTCATCGCCAGCGCCGTCACCCTCTGCCTGGCCGCCGGCGCAGAAAGTGCAGGGACCGCCGTCCGGGCTCGCCTCCAGCGCGCTGAGCCTTGGCCTCTCCTTCTCTTCCTCTCCTCCCTCTATCCTCCAGCTCAGGCGGCGCACGGATTGCTGCAATGCCGAGTCTGGCCGACCCGCCGGCCTCCACTTCACCCCCTCCTCTTTCCTTCCTTTTCTTCCTCCTCTCCCTCCTTCTCCTCCTCCTCCTCCTCCTCCTCCTCTTCCCTCCTCACTTTCTCTGGTATGGTAGCCTGATCGCCGAAGGCAGTCTCAGGTCTAGCCTCGTTATCCTCGCTCCTCTTCCTTCCCCCCCCCCCCCCCCCCCTCCCCCCCCCCCCCCCCTCCCCCCCTCCCGACCTTCCTCGGTCACTCCCTCCGCCTTCCTCCCCCCGCCCTCCGCTTGCTTCCGCCGACCCTTTCTTCATAGAGGTCTCTTCGTCCGGCCACAACGCGTGGCGCCAGGGCGTGGCGGGCTCTTCGCCCGAGCCTGAGACTTCCTTCCCGTTCGTGGCCCCGAAATTTCGAAATCCCCAGCAGCCACATGGATGGAAGGAGTCGTTCTCAAAATGTGGGCCTCGCCCCAGCGCGGCGCACATTCGTCTCGAACTTCTCAGGCAGTTACTACACGGGTGGATGGCGGTTGTAAAACGTAGGTCTCGTCTCAGCGCTGCGCACGCTCTTCTTCACCACCTCGCTCGTCTTCCATCCCTCCTCCCCTCCTCTCCTCCTCTCCCTCCCCCCCCTCCTCCCTCTCCCCTCCCCCCCTCTCCTCCTCCTCTCCCCCCCCTGTCGCTCGCTCTCCAACCCCCTCGCCCCGCCCCCGCGCGCGAGGAGTGCTGGCTTTGGAGGAGGACTCAGCAAGCAAGCAAAACACGCGCGCGCACGCTCGCGCGAGGCGGGCAGGGCGCTGGCCGCCCGCGAGCGCGACGCCGCGCGGTCGGAGGCGCGCCGCCGCCGCCCGCCCACGCGCCATCCGCCTGCTCGGTGAGGGCGCGGACGCCGCCGCCGCACGCCGCCAGGGGTGCGCCAGCGCACGCCGACGACGACGACGCCGACGACGACGACGCCGACGACGACGACAGGGACGACGACGATGAGGACGACGACGACGAAGACGACGATGACGACGAGGACGACGACGACGACGCCGACGCCGCCGCCGACGACGACGACGAAGACGACGACGAGGACGACGACGACGAGGACGACGACGAAGAAGAAGACGACGACGACGATGACGACGACGCCGACGACGACGAGGACGCCGACGACGACGAGGACGACGACGACGACGACGACGGGGCCACCATTGCTGGCGCCGATGGCGCCGCCGCCGCCGATGGCTGACGCCGCCACCGCCGATGACGCCGCCGCCAATGGCGGCGATCATCATCGCCTTGGTGGGGGCGCCGCCCAGCAAGGACGTCTGGCGTGACGGCTGCCCGGCAATGACAATCACGAACGAGCAGAGAGGTGGGCATCATTGTTGGCCCCAGACGAGGAGGAAAGGAGCACCAGTGCGCGGGCCCCAGCAGCAGTAGAGGAAAACGTTCTTCAGTACCGATGACGGCGGTCTGCATGCACTCTCTTCAGCTTCTCGTGGGTTCTAGCCTCTGGGGGGTCGTCTTCGGGTCCCGTGGCCGTCCGAGACCGATAGGTGACAACTGCGCGGGGTCCAGGGACCCCTGCTGAGCGGATCTTGAACGCTAGGGCGTTCGGGTCCTTTCGGGAGACCTGGGAATTCTGGAGGGGAAAGTGTGCACAAACGCATACTTGTATATTCTCAGGGAGATAAAGGAAAATAGGAGAAATGCAGGACTAACGGGCATCCACACAATATGAAAACATATGGAATCATGGAGTTTGTGTGTATTTATGTGTGCCTCCCTGGGCCCATGAAAAATAAACGACCCCCACCCGTCCGGGAGGGCTTTCAAAGGGGTTGCCCCCCAAAGGTGGCGGCGCTGAGGCAGGCGCTCGAGAAGGACTCGCAGTCGCCCTGGGGCCGCCGCTGCCGACGACGTCGTCGCGGATCGTCGTCTTCGGCGTCGCACCGCGCCGACGATAACGACGGCCGACGACCGACGAGCGAGGGCGGACGTGTCGAGGCCGTCGTCGTCGTCGCCGTCGTCGTCTCTCGTCCCAGTACCGTACACATCTTCCAGTCGTCCAGTCCAGCAGTCGTCGTCATCGTCGTCGTCATCGTCGTCGTCGTCGTCGTCGTCGTCGTCGTCGCCGCCACACGGCCGAGGTCCGCGCGAGCGGTCCCGAGGCGCGGGGGCCCCACTGTGGGGGGGGGGCTCGGGGGCGTGACGTTGGACCTTCCCCCCTGGCCCCTTCCCTTCCGTAGCGCGCTCTCTCTTGCATTGAAGCATGTCGCTGCCATGGCCGCGCGGCCTTCTTGTATGAGTTCGTTCGTGCGTCAGCCTGCGGCGCCATGTCCACCTGTCACCCTTTACTCTACTTCCAACCCCGCCTCCCCTCGCCCTCTCTCCAGGTCGCGCGGGCCCTGGCTGGCCTCCCTGGTAGCCCGCTCTCCGTCAGCCATCTTAGATTGGGTGCCGTCGATATAGTTCACCCGCATGGGAAGGATGGGCAACCTTCCCAAGGCTACCCTTGCATCCTTGCCCCGTCGGCCCATCCTTAGCGACTTTCGCTGGCCAACCTCGCTCGAAAAACGTCAACATGGGCCTCCAAGGCCCTTGCGTCCTTGCCGCGCATCCTTACGATACGGGTTGACAGTGCCCCCTGGCGCAGTCCATCTCCGCTCGGGGGACATCGACACTACCTGGGCATACCTATAATATTTGTGCTTGGGCTCAGCAGGGGCGGCGCGCGCGCGCGTTCGGGAATCTGACAGCATATGCTCGGTGACGGGCGCTTTCAGTCGACGATGCCGACGACGATGTTGCCGACGACGACGACGACGAGGACGACGACGCTGCCGACGACGACGGCGACGCTGCCGACGACGCTGCCGACGACGAAGCTGCTGCTGCTGCTGACGACGAAGCTGACGACGACGACGACGACGACGGCGACGCGATATGTCTGTGCTACATGTTCGGCTCGCGCGTGCGCGTCCAGGGTTGGCGCATAGCACCAGTACGTCCCGTCTGCGTCCGAACGAGCACTCCTCTCTCCCATCGGCCATGAGCGGTACAGCTGTTGCGCTCCTCTCTGCAAGCAAGTCAGAGAGCGCGTGTGTTCAAAGCATATAAGCGACATCTAGAGGCCTTCGGCCCATCCCGCCACCGTGCCTGTCTTGTGGGTCGGAGTTCTCAGAGATGCTTCTTCGGGTCTCTTCGGGGCGCTCTCGGGGGTCTTTTGGGGGCAGTTTTGGGGCCTCTTGGGAGTCTCTTGGGGGCCTCTTGGGAGCCTCTTGGGGCCTCTTGGGAGCCTCTTGGGTTCTCTTGAGGGCCTCTTGGGGGCAACTTGGGGCCTCCTGGGGGGTCTTCGGGGCCGAGGGCTGAAATGTTTGTTCGTGTTCCCTATCTGGGACCCCTCTTGGTTTCGTCTTTGGACCCTCTTGGGCCGTCCTGGGCGCCTCTTGGGCCGTCTTGGGGCCCTCTTGGGGCGATTTTGGGGCCCTCTTGGGGGCCTCTGGGACAGTCTTGGGGCGATCTTGGAGGCCTCGTGGGCCGTCTCGGAGAGTCGGAAAGCCGACACGACGAGAAGGGCAAACATCGTCAGCAATCTAAGGAAGCTCAATGATTTTTGCCGCTTGGGGCCCTCTTGAGACGCCTCTTGGAACAGTCTTGTGAAGTCTTCGGGGCCGCCTAGGCCGTGTTGAGGCCATCTTGGGCGCATTGGGGCACTCTTGGGTCTTCTCGGAGGCATCTTCGGCTCTCTTGGGAACTTTTTGGGTCCATGTTTGGCCGGCTGTGCCACCGGAGGACGCGCACGACACGCCAGGGGAATCCCGGGGAATTGTTGGAAATCTTGGGGAACCCCGCGGAATCTCTCGAACTCCTGGGGAATCCCCAGAGATTCCAGGGAATCCCGGGAAATCTTTGGAACTCTTCAGGAGTCCTTCTGAAACTGATGGCCCAGACCCGCACGATTTTTTAGAACCCTACAACTCTGAGCTTCTCAGGGCTGCATGAGCCTTGGGGAACTCCACTACATGCTGCAGGCACGATGACCGATATTCACCCTGGTGCAGACAGCGGCGCAGGAGGTGCGAAGAAAACAGAAGTGGAGAAGCTCGCCAGCGCATAGACCAATAGACCTGCAGGCGTCGGCAAGGTAGCCCCCCCCCAACAACAAAAGAAACATCGAGCACTCCCTCCTGTCCACATCGACCTGGAATCGGCGATACATCGCCGATAGCTCGGCGACAGGCCCCCGATAGTGAATCCGCACGCTCCTGGGCGGGGTGGGGCTATCGGACCCCTATCGGCGATGAGTGGGCGACTGGGTGTCGATGCACCCTTGGTTCTACAGTCGGGGCGCTGAAGAAGGAACCCTTCTCGTTGGCGAGGGGCTCGGTGTTCCTTGATTGTTTTACCGTTTGCCTTGGGTATTCCATGGAAAATCGAAGTTTGACTTGTGGGAAAAGGGGCCTCGTTCCTTATTCAGGGTTCCTGAGGTCAACGCCCCGACAGTATGCTCATCTTCCTTTATCGCTGCCCCTGAGAGGCGTCGCTGCCGGTCCTGGCCAGCACCCGATCCTGGCCTCCCCTCCCCACGCGGACCCCGCAGGAGAGGGCGGCCGCGAAGCGCGCGGCCGCCCGTGCCAATGCAGACCCCGCGGGGGCCCCAGCCTCCCCGGAGGAGCCGCGGGCGCGGCAGCTCCAGGCCCCGGCCTCCTCTCTGCTCGGGGGCGGCCAAGAGGGGGGTGATGACTAGGTGATGAACTCAGAAGAGGAAAAGGTACCCATACCTCTACCCTTCGCCCGTTTCCCCCTTTTCTGGGCCTCCTGGGAGGCCCTCGTCGCCACCGCTGGATTCGCCTCGAAATTCTGGTCAGAACGCACCCCGGGAGAGGTCCGGAGAGTAGCGGTATCGGTACCTTTTGGTTTCCCCATGAACGGGAATGTCGGGGGCGGCCGAGGGGGGTGATGACTAGGGGGGGGGGGGGGATCTCATGGCGGGGGCCATGAGGTCTCCCCAGATGTCATGGCGCCTCTTCTTACACTTCATTGCGTCCCTGGCCCCCTCCCCCCCCCCCTTGGGCCGCGCACACGCCGCCGGCCATGATTTGCGCCCCCCCCCTCTTGGACGCCCCCCTCTTGGCCTCCTGTCTGCTCTGCCACGCGAGGGAGAAAAAGCGCGCCGCGGCTGCGGCCCTGGCGGCTCGCTGCGCCCTGCGGGCGGAGGGCGTGCCGCTCACCCCTCCGCGGGGCGGGAGGCCGGGGGAGAGGCTCGGGACGTGGACGAGCGGGAGTGTCGGGGGCGGCAAAGAGGGGGGTGATGACTAAGGGGGGGGGATATCATGGCGGGGGCCATGAGATCTCCCCAGGGCGACGAGATCTATGCATATCCACTGCCCCTGGCCAGGCCAGTCCTGGGCCCAGGAGCGGCGTATACGCCCTCCTGGCCTGGCCAGGGAGGCATATACACAGCTCCTGGGCCCAGGATGGGCCTGGCCAGGAGCAGTGGATATGTATAGATCTCGTCGCCCTACAGATTTCATGGCGCCTCTTCTCATTACGTCCCTGGCCCCCCCTGGGCCGCGCACACGCCGCCGGCCATGATTTGCACCCCCCCTCTTGGACGCCCCCTTCCTGGCCGCCCCCGAGAATGGGGACGTGGATAGCGTGTCGCGTACACGGGAGGAGGTGCAGTAACTGACTCAAGGCGTGGACGATCTCTGTGGCTATGCGCGGCCCACCGCTCTGCTATGATGCAATGTGGCCTCGGTGCTGAGCGCTCTCCGCGCCGCAAGATTTGGACCCGAAGTTGCAATGGAACGGCTTGATGCCAATGACATTGGATGGAAAGTCGAATACGCCGAATCTGTCGCAATGCTTAGGCGGCGCGCTTGCCAATGCTTCTCCTCTCGGGGTCACTCTTATGGGCATGGACCTTCTGCCCTCTCTTCTGGTCGGCTCCTTCAATTCTGCGTCGGCTCTCAGCCTCCTCGTCCTTGTCGCTCCTCCGCCGCCTCCTTCTCTTTTTCATTCGGCATCTTCGAGCCTAGTCATTAGGGCGTCGATGTGAGCGATGCAGAAGCATGGAAGTCTAGAGTCGTCAATTTCTGCATGAGTAGCTAGTTTGCACGAGTCCACGCGCCTAGGGCGTATGACTTTTCGTTCGTTCGTTCGGTCTTGCACAGAGGGGGAACGGAGGAGGAGGAGGAGGAGGAGGAGGAGGAGGAGGAGGAGGAGGAGGAGGAGGAGGAGGAGGAGGAGGAGGAGGAGGAGGAGGAGGAGTAGGAGGAGGATAAGGAGGAGGAGGAGGATAAGGAGGAGGAGGAGGAGGAGGAGGAGGAGGAGGAGGAGGAGGAGGAGGAGGAGCAGAGGCGAGCTCCGCAGGCTCGCGCGGGCGTCATAGGCGCGGGCAATACCAGCTCTCCAGCAAGCTGCCCCGAAACGGCCGCATCGAGAAGAAGGGAAGTCGCAGAACTGGTGGAAGAACGATCCCCAAATCGTGCCGCCCAGAGGAGCAGATGCGAGCTCCGCAGGCTCGCGCGGGCGTCACAGCGGACTGCTGATGACGCCGCCGGCGGTGGTGACGGCGGATCCCGCCATCAGGGGAAGACCCCACTCGAGGGAGCTGGTCCTCGTGTGCCCGCCGCCGTGGAGGTCCAGAAGGGGCACGCAGTGCTTCTGGCGCAGCGTGCCTCGGCCTCGGCCTCTTGCTCCCCCTCGGCCTCGGTGCCGGGCCGGATCCTGGCCCTGGTCTTCAGTCGGGCCCGTCCCTCTACAGGAGGGCTATTTGAAATAGTCTGGGGACGCTTAAAACAAACAATTTATTTTTGAACATTATCGGATTTTTGGTGTGTATATATGTATATATATAGATATTTATATTTCTCTTTTGTTTGAATATAATTTTCGCCCCAGCCTTGGTCCCAGGCCTGGCTCCGCCCCCGGCCGCGGCCTTTTGGCCTTGGCCCCGGCCCTGGCCTGGGCCCCGGCCCCGGCCTCGCTGCCTCCCCTCCTCTCTTCCTCCTCTTCCTCCTCCTCTTCTTCCTCCTCCTCCTCCTCCTCCTCCTCCTCCTCCTCCTCCTCCCCCGTCTCCTACCTTCCTCTACCTCCTCTGTCTCCTCCTCCTCCTCCTCCTCCTTCTTTTCTTCGGGTCGCCTACGGCCCCGCGGGAAATCGTGCACTCTTCTCCTCTCCCTCCCGTGCCC